AGTGATGTTTTTAACAACTGTATTTAACATAAGCACTTGTTTTCTGTCTGTCGGTTTTTTTTAGCCAAAAAGATTTTCTCACTGGAATATGAACATTGACCATTTTATAAAAAATTATAATTAGTAAAAATCACAAAGGATCAATAAAAATCACAAACTTTCTTGTGTGAACTATTTAAAAGTGTCTTTAATGACTGGTCATTAATAAAAACGAGTTCTTAGGTTTTTTCGTTTGGTATCAATATTGTGCGGATATTCATTCGCCTGAAATCCTTGCCGAGGAAACCACATTTACTTAGATCATCACTGATTACATGACTATTTTTTATCATCGATATTAGCTTTTTGAGACGATAACAGATCGTGAGATGCGGTCTGCTGTGACGTAGATTTTAGAAAAACATTTTCTTTATCGTGCCAACGTTTCGGTCATTATTGAGATCATCTTCAGGACCTGGGATTTATAAACATTGTTTAAATTTTACAAATACATGTAGGAAGTGAAAAAACATGTATTTATAAAATTTAAACAATGTTTATACATCCCAGGCCCTGAAGATGATCTCAATAAAGATCGAAACGTTGGCACGATAAAGAAAATGTTTTTCTAAAACCTACGTCACACCAGACCGCATATCACGATCTCCGAATAATCGTCGACTAACGGTCACTAAATTACCACACAGCTCTCATGTATATTATTTTGAAATTTTACTTATACAAAGGGGTAAAAATAACGTGTACGTACTCTACCAGTTAATAATTACCAAAACTGAAATTAAAATCGATACCTAGGCCGTGTTACTTGATCAATAAACCTTGAATAGTACAAATTTAATGCCTCCAAAATATGTCAGGAATTCGAGGTCTTTTAGAACTGACTAGTGAGACGAGACTTATTTACCAACGAAATCAGGACAGACTTACAGTACAGTTCGGTACATTTAAATCTTAAATATACATTTGTCAGCTAACATGTCTTTTTCATGATAAAAAATCAAATTTTATTAGCGTAATAAATATTTATTTAAAAATGTCATAGATAAAAATACACAAGCTGTCAAATTTCAAAGAAGCATAAGAACAAATATCGTTATCAATTTTTTTTTTTTATGTGAAGAAGATTTACAAATTGCAAATAGAAATTATCGCTTTGTCACCAATTTCATGACAACACAGATTTTTTTTCATTGTGTAATTTGTTACCCATTGTTATTTTATCTCCTTCTGTTAGCCATTGACACAATAAATTCAGGAATGACTATATTTATTGGAAAAACCTGTATATTATTTAAAAAAAACTGCAGTAACTTATGGTAATATTACAATTATACATTATATCGGACGTTCTGCTAATTATCTACCTTAGATCACTACTGCGTTTTTTGACATATGACACCCCGGTGTTTAAGGTGTTTTGAAAAACACCATCATAACTCTATTACACGCAAATGCAAATGCTAAATAGCCATGGAATAATCCATGACTATTTATCCAGGTTAAATATCACTCCGGATGCAGCCTAGAATTGCCTATGAGGTCCATATTTTATACGACTGCCCAGATCATGAAGCCATACGTGCAAAGCTGATAAAGGCGGTTAAGTGGAAAGGAAATCGATTGGAAGCAAGCCGGCAGTGTTTTATTATGAAATATACAAAAAAACAAAACTTTCTGCAATTTGCTAAAAATATCATGGTATATTGGTTGATCTTTTGTGTCATAATTCTAACTCACATTTAAATTATTTAAAATATATTTCCTCAACGTTGGAGCAATTAATAAACTGGGGAAAAACACCATAATATATTGGATTGCTACACAATAAATGCTATATAATAAATCGTTAAAATTTATTTTCTTAGAACGTCTTGGTAAAGAAAAAAAGGATGACTAATTTCTCAAGTTCTCGATTAGTAATTTACACTTATCTATAAATGAAAATGACTAATATTGATAAATATCAATCTGATTTTGACATTGAACTTGCCTTTTGTTTCAAAATAGTCGTTTAAGATTTTTCACACGCGATAAGATTTTTTTTATTAAACGATTATTGCTATAGAAAAAAAAAGAAAACTGGTCGATAAAGAAGAGATGTTTATGTGTTTACATTGACCTTTCTTTCTACTTACGTTATTTTAAAAAAATGTAAATGTAAAACTTAGCTTAGGTATTATGTGCAATATGTAGAACAAATATCAAACCATATAGCATAAAAGCATTTTTTTTTTTTTGTAAAAACGCGTTATTTATTTTTTTAAATACAACAATTTCCATAGTGTTTACTTACGTTGGTCTTACAAATTTAATTTTAGTAAAAAAAAATTCAAATGTTTAATAAAATATTTTGCCAAAATTAAATAATTTCTTATATGACAATTCATGTCGTAGGCGACCAACAAATTGCTTTTATTTGCCTAAAAGGAGAAATAATTTCAGTCAAAACTCAGTAGTGAGTAGCCTAAATTGGCATATTTTAAACTTTACTCAGCTCCAATGTATGAAATTTGTATGGCAGCCAGCAAGGTATACTGCAGATATTGAATTATTTTAGACCAAATGGTGTAATAAAATAGAGTAAAATATTTTTTTATTAAAACCAAAGTTGATTCTTGTTTTTTGCACCTTTAAATGAAACAAAAATTTCTGGTCAAATAAAAAATATTTGTCTTCTTTATAATTTTCTCTTTCATATTGGCTCCGTTGTTTTCCGAAATGACGATAACTATGAGAAGATTACTTACACGTAATGGAAAAAACGTGGTTATCGCAAATAAATCAAAACTTGAGTGAAATAAATTATTGGAATTTTTTTAAATTTCACTTATAATGACAAAAAAACAAACTTTGTCAATAGAGGTTCAAAAAATAGAAATACATCCAATTTTTGTAAATGATCATTCCACTAACATATTTATTAAGACAAGGTTCAAAATTGAGGACATTATTATTCAACTTGACGGAGGGTTCATTTTACAATTCGTGTCGAGAGACGCGTTTGTAATTCATTAAATCTGATGATGAGTGTTTAATGCTTGAAATATGGATCGTTGTAAACAACAAATCTGTGAGCAGAATTATCATTTACAAAATGTGAATCTCACTCTCAACATCATAATTTTGAGAAATGCATCTTTTCAACGGTCCTAATACTGCAGAATTTGGATAGGAATTTTTAATTGGTATGCCAGACGGAGATATAAAACATATACCTCCGGCCGATTCAACTCAAAAATTTTTTGTTTGGTATAAAAATCCCTGCTTAATTTGTTAAATTGCAAGCTTAAACAAATACGAAGAATATTTTTCAGAAGCAAATTTTATTTTGCCTGCTTTGCTGATAGCGTCTTTTCATTTCTGTAACTTTCTATGTATATATATCTATAATCTTATTCAATACAATCCGACATGTTATTTTCTAATCCTAAAATAATTGACTGATCTCGAATTACATCATCATATTAATCTCGGAATACAATCTTTAAAAAGGTAGAAAACCATGTTTTAAGAAAATCAGGGCCCATTGGGAAGAAAGCTCGGATATATGTCTAATGCTTTTCGCCTGATTATCGTCCTCTCATTTTAAACTTATGTTATGACCAAAAAAATTGTCACACCATAAAAAGATTATGTTTCAACTCCTTGATTATATTCTTATAATTATTAATCGAATGGAATGAAATTATTTGTCTTGGCCCTGACTTATAAACCGTAGCGAAGAACGATCGCACAAACTGTGTAATTGGGTTAAAAGTTATCTGCAATAAAATCAGACAGTCGTGTTGTATACTAATTGTTCACTTTACGAATAAATCGACAATCCCTTTGGAAATTTTGCTTTTAATTGTGAACACTTTTTACGCACGAGTACTTCAAAAGTGAAGACTGATGCACCTTAATTGGCTAGCCTTGCAATCGTTTTTCGGCCGTTTTATCAAATCTCGTCATGTAACTGACTGATAAAAATTGCATAATGAAATTAAGAATATTATTAAATTAATATAATCTGGCTAATGTTCCCTAATTTTTACGGCATTTTAAATTAATTTATACGATTTAAATTTGAAAAAAATCATTTTGAAACCCGAAAAATTAATAATTAATGAAATGGAAGCGTTGCCAAACCTTTTGGATTTTAGGACATTTATTTTTCACCCTTGATACTAGATTTAAAATTTTTTTATTTTAAAGGCTTCTATTGCCTGAAAAATATCTGTAATAATTTTTTGTTAGTTTTTTAAAATTGCTTTTTTTATATGTAAAGTATCATTAATAGTAATGATGACTTGTTCTGTCTTTTTGCCCCATAATCCTGTCGTGACCGACTGATAAAAATTCATAATAAAATTAGTAAAACATTATTATTAATATTTGATTTGGGATAATTTTAAAATGCAGCTGACTAATTGTTATGTCTTTTTAATTTAATTTGTGCTATTTAAATTTGTAAAAATTATCATGATCCCTTTTTAAAGACATTTCTCTTCCAAGGAATAGTCAAAATTTTAAATAAATAAATGATAATAAAATAAAAGAATTGATCCAAACTTATCTGAATGAATAATTAATTTTAAACTTAAGCATTTGTAATTTCGTTGTGATAAGGTTTCAGGCAAGATAGTAATTTTTATATTTAAAACCATTCAAACGGTAATCATAAAAAATAATGTAACAGAAGATTCACTTTGACAAACTTGTTCATCTTAAGAATATTTATTTTTCACCTTTGATTATTTAAAAATTTTACTATTTGACAATTTTTTATATCATCAAAATATAGCAGTTCGTTTTTATTTTTTAAATATTACTATTGATGTAAAAATAGTTTTTACCATTGTCATCAATGTTATCAATGACTGGCATATTAGAAACTTAAATTATTTGAAGCAAATAATTTATTTTAGTTTCCATTGTTTTACAGTTTTCAAACATCTTTGCTTCATGTTTTGCATAAAATAATTTTTTTTTTTTTTTATTAACGTTTGCTTTGTCCATACCTCAACTCTTGTGGGAGTCCTTCGAGCTCCGGAACCCTGCACCAGTGGTCTTCTGGGACGAGTGTGACGAAGATCTGTGCAAAATAAACGAAGGCGACGGAAAATAGGAACGGTATCATCATGAGGAACAGTAATTTTTGGTAAAGTCCAAATTCGCCGATGTACGGCAGGAGGTCATCAAAGTCCATCAAGTCCTCTTCCGCAGGCACGCTCCCTCCGACATCCTTAACGTTGGAATTGGCGTCCAAGTTCGACACTTTTTTCTTCTCGTCCACCATTGTCTTGTCTTTTATCGAACCGGAGTCTTGAAACTGTTACGACTTATCTTGGTTTTCCAGGTGAACTCAACCGTTGCCCGGTCTGACTTTCACCCTTCGGGTATTCGCACGCGACTAGAGGAGTTGCTCTCGTCTCCCCCTTTTATAACTCCGCTTTCCCCCTCTAGCCTTTTCAAATTTGGCTTTGATTTCTAACCCGAGGAGACGCCGTTTGCAAATATTTACTTTTTTTAATTAGCGCACTATATTTTTAATAGTGCCGTCGAGTTTATTTGCTGAGAATAGCCTTCTAGTTTGAACTCAATTGTCCCCTCCAAATTTTGTAACAATGACACCTTTACTTACTTTTTTAAAACAAATATAAGTGATTACCATTTATAACTTTTAATTTTATCTTAAAACAGTTTTGTCGTAAAAAATATCAATATGGCAATACTTACATTTCATAAATAAAACAAAACACAATAGACATTATATGTACTTATTTTGGCTAAAATTTTACTAGTACTTGAACGCTTAGCCCTCTTCGAATTACTTTAAATTATATAACGTATAAATAATTTTAAAAATATTCTTTATTGTCTTTTTCTAGCTCTCTCTCTCTCTCTCTCTCTCTCTCTCTCTCTCTCTCTCTCTCTCTCTCTCTTTCTCTTCTCTTTATCTATCTATCTATCTATTCATCTCTATCTACTACCAATTGTTCATCTACATGTCTTTCTCTCTCTCTCTCTCTCTCTCTCTCTCTCTCTCTCTCTCTTTTCTCTATCTCTCTGTTCTGTTCTGTAACCTATCTACAATTTCTATCTCACTCACTCCCTCACTCTCTCTCTCTCTCAGTCCCTCTCTTTACGCAACTTACTCCCTTCTATCTACAGTTTTTTCTAGTTCTATCATCTTTCTTTTCTCTTCACCAATAGGCACTCGATTCCCACCGTCGCGGCCCTGGCCCTTTTTTCAGGCAACCCTTCTCCCCCCCCCAAAAAAAAATATATATATCACGTTTCTTGGCTAATATGGAAATTCCATAATGTCATTTAAACAATAATACTAAAAACTAAATAAATAAGCTAAATTTAAAAAAATTGAATTGTCGTTTTTATGATTTATTTTATGATTAAAATTAAAAAAGGTTTATATGTTTGGCTGAAATTTTTGCTTGGCAATAAAACCTATGGAGCGTTGGTGGATGGAACGGTTATGGCGATGAACGGCGCTCATCAGGTCTCCGGGTAAGACTAAACAGTTCCTTGAATTTCAAGTCCCTTTGAAAGACATTAACAGCAAAAATTAATAGCACGGAGGCAATAAGTATTACCGTAAAATATAATTATTTTATACGGTGGTGTGTGCTATTATTTGTTAAGTTTGTCAGGTTTGGGGATATGTACGCTATGCGGAGCTTGAGAAAGTGCAACAAGATTATTTATAAAACGGATGTTTTGTCTGCCAAATTATACACCGGCATATTTTTTGCATTTAGAAACAGGAAGGAATTTCATGTTCACTTTCGTTCTAATGCTGCAGTTCTCTTATGTACTTAAGATCTTGCCAAATAATTCAAGGGACAGATTAACCTATCTAGTAACCAGAGATATAAAACGTGAATAATCCTGTTAGGAATGCTGGATACAGCTGGCCGATGCCTACAATGTGCAATTAGATGACGGCGAGCCAAGTGAAAATTGGAAAAACCAAACCAACTAACTGTATATTTATATATTGTATATATTGTTTTATATATATTGTATATATAAAATGATAAAAGTTTAAACGTACGTAAAACCAGCTACGAATTTACTTCTGATATAAACATTTCCAGACAGTTTGGGAGAATGAAACAAAAGGGATCGCAGTTGAAAAGGCAGAATTGGGGCTGTGGTAGACGGAAAATCAAACTTTACAAAAATAGAGACATGGGGAAGAATCAAACAACTGATATACTCATGCAAAAGAAAAGGTACGATTTATTGATAGAATTTAGTTTTTTTATGGATTTGATAGTAGGCAAGTAATAATTTTCTAGAAGACTAGAGATTTATGCAAGACAGTAATGTGGTATAAAGGTTCGTCATTTTTTCATCAGAATTTCTCTACATATTTTTTAAATTTTGTTTTCGATATTTACGTAATAGTTATATCAACGAGCTTAGGAGCATTGCAATAAGAAGTTTTGCCATATCATCAACCAAATAAATTGCAGCAAGCGTTTCTTAGTAATAGTAACTAGGGTTTTTGTTTTCGATAATTTGATGATTTTGTAAAATCGGCATCTAGATGTTCTAGTTAAGAAGTTCTAGATTTTAGATTTATTATTACCCAACCACTATTGTAAAGAACACGGCTATATTGTAATATGTTTCAAACAAACCGAACTTTACACAAAATCTAAAGGCAAGTAGGTTATATCAAATTTTTATTTTTTATGAAGTTTATTATTAACATTTTAATATATAACTGTTCAGAAATCGTGAGATGCGGTCTGGTGTGACGTAGGTTTTAGAAAAACATTTTCTTTGTCGTGCCAACGTTTCGATCTTGATTGAGATCATCTTCAGGGACTGGGATTTATAAACATGGCTTAAATTTTACACATACATGTAGGATGTGATCCTAAACACGATCTCAATAAAGATCGAAACGTTAGCACGATAAAGAAAATGTTTTTCTAAAACTTACTTCACACCAGACCGCATCTCACGATCTCCGAATAATCATTGAATAACGGTCACTGAACACCACACATTTTAACATATTTAAAAAAATAAATCATTCATTGGGTCTTAGATAATTCACAGTTTTTTTTTTTTTTTTTTTTTTTTTAAATATACAATCGACATTAGTTTGTAGCTTTTCGCCTCATGACATTTTTAAATAAAATTTAATGCCCCGGTTATTAGCCAAATAATTATTTTTCATAATAACTAATAATCATAACAACAGGAGCATGGATTTTTGGAAATAGTTCACAAATGTCCGGCTACGATTACTTTAAACTATTGTATTAAAATCGTTACAAATCATGATTTAAACTAGGTGTTTTAGTTTGTAAGAAGACCATTTGTTACATTGTAAATTATTAACAATATATTCAAAGTCCTCTTGATTGGATTGAAAAAGATTTACCTCAAGTGCTTTACCAAGGAACTGAATATTTCCATGATTTATATTATAAACTTGTAATATTGAAGGTTTATAGCAATTATATAGAGATAATTATTATAAGAAATATAATTTTTCTAAATCGTTTAGATGTTCTAGTTAATTGTTTCTGGGTTTTAATTTTTGGCTTGCCATTATTATTTTGTAAAAAATTAGGTCTTTATCGACTTTTGTAAGGAAACCAAGAATAACTATAGTCTTTTACTTTTATAACAACCAATCGTACTTAAGTAAGTTCTAACATACTCGTTTCTTTAATAAAACATTAAAGCACCTGTGTAACGGCTATGACCCTTCCTCCACTAATTGCTTACCATGAATTATTTTCGATAAAGCTTTCAAGGTGATTATCACTTGTCCTCGAGGTGTTTGTCTTCAATAAAAAAAGCCCTTTCCTTTGTCCACTTGTCCACTCAAAAATAAAACAACATTAAGTAGTAAAAATAAACTTTATTATTCATTGGAGTAGTAAGAATACAAAAAAATATGATGCGGCTAAAGTTACGGAGAAAGTTTTCAAAAATAAACGCAATTTCTCTGACTATAATTAGCGATGAGTTTACAAATAGTCTTATTTATTAGTCGATTGAGAAAGACGTTAGATCTGTTTTAGAAAATAATATGAAAGAAGAAATCAACAGCTATTTGGAAAACATGATAGCAAATAAAATGACAAATTATTAAAAGACCTATTACCCAAAACTACAAACTAAATCGGTGAATGGGCATGTGGCCTACACGAAAAAACTTACTTCTTTGAAAATTACAAAAAGAATGCAACTTCATCTAATGCCGTTTGCGTTGAAAAGGAACATCTAGAAGATTATTAAGTTTATGATCACTAAGGAATATCCAGAACAAATCAATGCGTTTTTTACTTTGTGATATTATCTTTCGTAGAAACGAAAGTTCTTTTAAATCCTGTTCCTCAATCCGACAAAGTTAACTATTTAGGACTTATATTTGATAGAAGACTAACTTGGAATCCACACACACGATTAAAAAAACAGACACTGAACAAACGATTTAAAATTCTTTATTACCTACTCAACCGACAATCAAAATTACCATTAAAATCAAAAATTTCGACATACACATACCTACTCAAACCTATTTGGATGTACGGGTGCCAAGTATATGGATCGGCGAAGTGTTCCAATATTCAAAGATTACAAAGTTTTCAATCCAAAATTTTGAGACTAATTGTTTCTGCCCCTTTTTATGTAAGCAATAATACACTTCACAGAGATCTTCAAATCCCAACAGTTTTTTCATCCATCAAAACATATTACAGACGTTTTCATAGTAAATTACAAAATCACACCAACACACAAATACGATTACTCCATTCCACACAATTACCACGTAAACGTCTGAAAAGAATATGGCTAAGAGACCTCTTAAATGATTAATATCATTTCATTAATTCAGAGCGGCTGCCAATGGGTAGCTTTCTCTATAACGCCCATAATGCCAAACACATAATCTGAAATCCAATCTGTTGGTTGTATATAATACATGTACAGTTGTAGATACAAATAAATGAAGTCGAAAAAAAATGTGTACAAACACTCATGGCATCACATTTGAAAAAGGTTTCTCACCAGGTCGGCTTAACGTGCCAATTTAATGAAATTTTAATATCATCAATTCTACGGAAAATATTACATTTTGAACCAAACAGATTTCAATACAATAGACGGCGTTAGAATAAAAGGCCACATTTTTATAAAGACTCGCAAATGATAGTTTTGCATATTGACTATAAAAAGTCAATATTATTTTGCCCCTCTTTGAAATTGATTTCATTAAAAAAGAAATGCCTAAAAAAAAATGGGTAAAGTTATTTTACAAATAATGCCTTATAATTACTTTAAAAATGGTGAATCTGCAAATTTTCCCCCGCTCAATTGGAAAAACAAAACGTTTTTAAATATTATATTAATCCATGTATGTTTAGCGTA